TGTGTGTGTGTGTGTGTGTGTGTATGTGTGTGTGTGTGTGTGTGTATGTGTGTGTGTGTATGTGTGTGTGTGTGTGTGTTGGTCACAAAAATCTCAGGGCCTGGGCGCTCCCTGAGCTTTTATTGCTCAAGGCCAGTGCTGTACCACTCCACTTCCCAGTTCTGGCTCTTTTTTTTTTTTTGGTTGGGGGGGATGCAGGAAGGCAGTAGTTAGCTGGAGATAAGAGTTCACAGGCTTTCCTGCCTGGGCTGGCTTTGAACCATGATCTTCAGATCTCAGCCTTCTGAGTAGCTAGTATTATAGGCGTATGCCACTGACCCAATCTTGGTTTTTTAACAAGTGTCAGTTTGTTCAGCAAGTTTAGGCCATTGCTTAACTGTGATGAAGACACGGGCAACAGCAATCCAGGGAAATCAGGACTCAGTGAGATTGTTTTTACTATTTCCTTGCCTCTGAATTTTGTGAATAACCAGGGAATCCCAGGAGGGAACAGAATTTCAGTGTGTACTAAAAAGAATGTTTTAAAAAAGAGCTAGATGACCCAGCAAACTATATCACAACCCTAAGAAAACGAGCTGAACTGTCCATTGATTTCATCTGAGTTCCAACTCCACACACTACTAGCCTCAATGCTGACTCAGCAGGACTCTTTTCTACTGTCCAGGATTAGCACTGTCCAAAAAACTCTCCAAGATGGAAAACTGTTTTCACTCTCCAGTATGGCAGCCATTAGTTTCATGATGCTATTGAAGTGTACTTAGTATGGTGAAGAACTGAATTTTCAGTTTTACTAAAAAACTTTAATTAATTTAGAGTTGAAGAAGCCACATGTAGTTATTAAGCTATTGGGCAGGACAGTAATGCCATTTCCCAAAGAAACTCAGAAATAGATCAAGATTGGCATATCAAGGTTTCTGATGATTCAAAGAAATCCCTCCTTATTCTAGTGACAAAAGGTGCCATCATCCATAAAAATTGAATTGGCAAAGAGGAGTTAGGGCACTCCCAGAAAACTGAAATGAACTCATTAGAAAGCAACTACCAAGCTCACCAACTGACTTACTTTAAGTAAGCTCTTCATTGCAAAAGCTAAAGGTGATG